CATCCAGGGCTTTGGACCATCAAGGACTCCTACCCCTCCCCTCCCTTCACCAGTAAGTTCTAATTCAGTCAATTGTGCTGTTGTTGACTGATATTCAAATAGCCGCATCTTCTAACAGGCCTTTTTGGGGATAGGGACCGCCTTGCCACTGAGCTGGGATGGTTCTCCAGGTCAGGTACTTTGCTAAACCCCGAGTGTCCTGCCAAGCAGTGGTGTTACAGCCGTGTGTCCTATTAATCCTGGGCACTCAGTCACTTCTTCCAGACCCTGCCAAAGATGGCTTAGCATTCCTTTTCCTTTGTTCTCTTGGGAGGTACTAATGGGCTGGCCCTCTCTCTCTTTTGTAGGCCTGTGAACGAGATGTCCAGTGTGGAGCTGGTACCTGCTGTGCTATCAGCCTGTGGCTGCGGGGGCTGCGGTTGTGCACACCACTGGGTCGGGAAGGAGAGGAGTGCCACCCAGGAAGCCACAAGGTACTCTGCTGGCACTGAGTGGGCATGCGTGTGAACAAGCATGGGCATGCGTGTAAACGAGCATGGGCATGTGTGTGAACGAGGATGGGCATGCGTGTGAAGGAGCATGGGCATGTGTATGAACGAGCATGGGCATGTGTGTGAACAAGCATGGCATGTGTGTGAAGGGGCATAGGTATGCATGTGAATGGACATGGGCATGTGTGTGAACGAGCACGGGCATGTGTGTGAATGAGCACGGGCATGCATGTGAAGGGGCATTGGCAAGCAAACAGGGATCTTGGAGCCTGGATCCAGCTTAGACCAGGGAGTCTGTGGCTTCTGATGATGATTTGCAGGAGACTAATACTGCGCCCTTCCCAGTGGATCCAGCCTGACCCAAGGAAGAAAAGCAGACAGCCAAGGGTTTCTGCTCCAGGCAACAGCCTTACCCAGGCCTGCAGATACTCCCTGGACAGTGCTTTGGGTGGTGACATTGTCCACCTGCCTCCTTCTAGACAGGCTGGAGACACAGTTATGGTTTTATCTTTAAAGCATTCCTGGGTTTTCATTAGCAAGCTGAGGAGCTACAGCAGGTCATGTGACTCGCTCAAGGCCTCGTCCTGAGACAGCTGGGACTAAAATGGAATTTTCTGAAGTCAACCATAGTCCTAGGCTACTGGTATAGGGTACAGCTTTCTTGTTTTTTGTCTTTTTTTGTGGAATGGTGATACTAATCACACAAGCTGCTAGCCCTTCAGGCCGGCCACCCTTAGCCCTTTACTTGTTGTGTTTAATGGGAGCAGGAGAGTTAACCCTGAAGTGATAGATTTCAAAAGATTCTCAAGTATCCTTTGCTCTTTGAAACAGAATCTAAGAACACAAAATGGCCCCCATACAGGCTTGTGGCCAGAGCAAAGAAGACTCTTGTACAGGAATTTCTTCCCTGTGTCCTAAGCAGCTAACTCTGGGTGTGTTTCTAGACCCTGAGGGCACAGGGCAGCCAAGAGGCTCTTGGCTTTGGGAGGGTCAGGGCTGTAGCTGCAAATTATAGCCTTAGGAGGGTGGGGCCACTAAAGGGTAGCAGCTTGGCTGGATCTACAGCCACACCCAGTTCCCCTTAGTGACTTGTCTGTACACGCCCCAGTGCTGTCTCTTCCAATTACCCTCAGGGCCCGATTTGTCCTTAACCACCTTGGGCTGAGGAAGCTGAGAGCTGAACGGCTCTGCGTTCCTCATTGCCTTGGGCTGTGAAAGATGGCTCAGAATGATTCACGCTCCCAATAAGGACATCAGCATTAACAAAAAACAAATACACTTCCTACAGGCCATTTGTCCTCAGTAAGTTTTCAATAAGTAAATGATCTTAGTCTTTTTAAAGCTATATAGTCATATAGGAGCTATTAACCCATTTTTTTTTGTAGATGATAAAATGAAAGCACAGCCAGGGTAAATAGGTAGTCGGTTGTCACAGATGTGGTAGACAGAAGGTCTGGGCTTTGAACCCTGGTAGTCTGGTGCTGAACCTAGTCTCCTTATCACTCTATTTAAAACCCTCTGGGGGCTGGTGAAAAATTCAGCAGGTAAAAGCACTTGCTATGAAAACACGTGCCCTGAGTTTGATTCTTGGAACATATGTAAAGGTGGAAGGACAGAACAGACTTCCCAGGTTGTCCTCCGATCTCCACAGGCATGTTCTCCCTCACACATATAACACACATATAAACAAATATCCTTTCAAATACTGAGGGAACCTTGGGTGTCCAACAGTGCTCTTTGATGTGAGCCACTGGATAAAGAGGGTTTTGTCCCTTCACAGCTATCTGTAGGCTCTGACCTCAGAGCTGAGGACGCCAGGGGTAAGCAGTGTGTGAGAGTGTTTGCAATCGTGTGTGTGTGTGTGTGTGTGTGTGTGTGTGTGAGAGAGAGAGAGAGAGAGAGAGAGAGAGAGAGAGAGAGAGAGAGAGAGCATGAACATGGCCACAGGTGTTCCGAGTGCAAAGCATCAGCCTTATCTGGGTTCAAATCCCAGCTCCTCCACAAATTAGCTGTGTGATGTTGTCATGCCATTCAATTCCTCCGGGCTTTGGAGTGGTCGCCTGCAATCAACATTTTTGTTGGCTGGGAGGAGACATTTATAGGCCTTTCCTGTTGTGGGAGCTCATCAGTGTAGCCAATGACATTTGGGGATAACTAGCCATGGGCATGGTTTTCTCTGAGTACACGACCAGATAAAACTAAGGAGAGGGTCTCACACTCACTCTCGAGCAAGTCTTGTGGTTGGTCTGCATTGCCCATGGGAGGACAACAGCAGCTGGATTAGCGCCATCTGTATTCGTGAGTTTGCTCTCCATTGCACCCCCTAATACATTGGTAAATAGGCTTTTGTGGCTTCTCACTTTACCTGGCGTTCAACGTGGACTGATCCCAAATGGCCCTGCTGGCATTCCGCCGGCTGATCGGCGCTTTCGGAGGAAAGTACCTGCTACTGTGTGCAGCGGCTCAGCGGCTCAGAGTCAGCGGCTCAGCGGCTCAGTAGCGGGTATCCTCAGTTTCTGGTCACCCACGAACATCATTGACTACACGGAGCTCTCACAACCCTTCCCTATGGCTGATAGACTGCTTCCTTCTCTCTCCAGATCCCCTTCTCTAGGAAACGCCAGCACCACACCTGTCCTTGCTCGCCCAGCCTCCTGTGCTCCAGGTTCCTGGACGGCAGGTACCGCTGCTCCCGGGACTTGAAGAACGCCAACTTTTAGTCTGTCTGGGCTCAGAATCCCTATTGGGTGACCTCTTCTGCATTTCTTCTATGTGATTTAGTTCCCTGCGACTGCTCCATTCCCCGCCCTGTCCACTGCAGGCACTTGAGCAGACGGGCACACCTTCTCCTACGGAATAGTCCACGGGTGTGTTTGCAGAGGAGGCTGTGACCTTGAGAAGCTGGCCAGCCCCGCGAAGTTATGAGGCTGCATTCCTCCCAGTTGTCTGGCCTGTCCTGCATGCACCTTCTTCCTAAATCACAGCCTCCTGGGTACTGGCCCTTGGGGGCATCACTAAGTCACAGGTCCTGTGGGGTTGTGGGCCAACATGAGGAGTGTTCATCTTTCTTTGACTGACTAGCTCCTTACTTTAGGACCATAGGTACAAAGTCAGCTTTTCTCAGAGCAAGAAGACTTCAGGGTCTCTTTGAAGTTGGGGTGAGAGGCAGCTCAGAGGGTTCTGGGTATGTGTGTGTTGGGGATCTTCTAGGAAGAACTGGGACGGTGGGGGAAGCTCCCTTGAGGAGACTTAGCATGGCCACTTCAATTCTCAGAGCTGAAATTTAGTCCCTTTGGGTTTATGTCAAATATTTGACTCCCGCTGGCCACATGTGCCCAGTGTGAGGTAATTTGTGTCAGCAAGAGAGCTGGCAAGGCCTTCAGCCTGAATCCAGGCCTGGGAACTTTCTCTGCAGGGAGGTTGCTGGTACAGCCGACTTCCCACTTCGGTTCTCAGTCTAGATACAGGGTGTCCAACACCACTCTGACAAAATGTTGCCTTCTTCAAAGTTCCGAATGGAGCAATCAAGTTGCAACAACAAATCTGCTTTAAAGTAAGCTGGCAATTTTGTCTTGGGCCGCATTCACAGCTTTCCAAAAAAATCTAAAAGAACATAGAGTGTGGAAGGTCGCAGTGTTGGAGTGTTGGACCCACTTCGTTTCTCAGGAGCCCCAAGGAGAATTCACTGCAGTTTCTAAGACCCCGGTTCCTGTCCTCTCCTCCCCCACTTCTCCGCTCAGTCTTTACTCCAGAGCCCATCAGCCTGGGCCTTTGCCCGCACACGGACAGTTCTGTGCTTTTGTCTCTGCTCTGTTGACCTGCATAGACTTTCCTGCATTCATCCCACAAACGCTTTCCCTCTGGGCTTCAGGCCCAAGTTCTAGCTGTAAAGTTCCTTTCCAAACCAATGGTCCCAGATCCTCATCTCACAGATCTCCAGGTTGCCCTTGGGTATTGACCTCCAGCTTGTGCCCCTCCCTGCTCACAGAGCAACCCTGAGTGCAATGGGCAGCAGTCAATGCCTCGGATGCCCCAGAAACAAGACGCTGGGGTGCCCTAAGGTGCTCCCTAGCACAACACCATGTTGCCCTTCAGTCCTAGCCTTAGATCAGGCCACCTGCAGACCCATAGGGTGAACCAACAATTTGACATGACAGCACTCATTTTCATATTTAATGTGATGATTTTGAGAAATGAGAAATGAGCCCCTACCTCACTTCTCGGCTGTGGCAAGGACAAACAACGAAGAGGTTTGGAGGCTTAGGAAAATGTCTTCTTCACATTCAGTAATATGCTCTTCAGAATTATGGCTATACAAAAGCACCTGTAGAGATAGTGTGGCCCCTAACATGAATGTATCCTAGAAGAATAAGGTCAGGTGAAGTTGACAGACACCGGTTCAAGATCCATCCACAACTTCACTGAAGGCCCGACTCGTTCCTCTTCAACCACTGGTGTCTGGCGCCCTCTCGTGGGAAAAATGGAAGTAGCAGGCGCTTGAAGGTGAAAAGAGGACGGGTGCTTCCAGAAAATAGAGACTGAGTTCTTCAGACATACTCTGCTTTGAATCCCACTGGAGGTCCAGAACAACGCTTGTACAGAAGCCTGCCTCCGGAAGGACCACAAGAACAATGCTTCATTAACACTCGGGCTCTACCCCACCTTAGAAGTGACCTTGGAAACCGCTACCTACTTCCTGCGGAGTTTAGGCCACTTGCCGCGATTTCCCTGCTCACAGACTAGTGAGAGAGTAGCTGTGGATAAGTTCACCCTTTGCCTGTCTGTGAACCCCGAAGCTGTAGCAGGGTCAGCAGAGCCGCCTTTGAAGCTCCGCCTTGCGCTCCTCCTCATCGCCGCTGCTCACTTAACTATTGTTCCCATGGTGTCCACAAGTCTCTAGGTAGTCAGGGCCTAGAGATCCCGCTCCTTCAGGACAAGAGGGCCAGACACAGAAGGGCAGAGGGCAGAGCAGAGTGTCCCGGGCAGAGCCTCCTCTGTCTGCTGCTCAGCGTGGAATCCCCTCAGTGTGGTCCTTAGCGTTCTGAGTGAGATCTGAGTAAACTCTGGTTAGCTACTGTTTTGCGCAATTATCACCGCTGATGAAGGGGTTCCTGCAGGCAATGATCAGGGTGGGACCCAAGGAGGAACAACAAGAGGCTCCTAAGCCTGAAGAGGAACATCACAGAGGGGAGAGTAGCTGCAGGGCTGGACACTGATTCAGAGTTGAGCCTACAGACTGAACCCAAATCATTGACCCAAATCAGCTCTCAGACCAGCCCCAAGAGTCAACACTGAGGCTTTGTTTGAAATCTATAAAAATAACGATAATCAGACTCTGCATTGTAGATAGGGACGTACATTCTGGCCTGGAGGCACACTCTGAGTATCTTCAGGGACGTTTTCCTGGACCAGGGACTGGCAATGAGAGCAAGGAACGGCCCTGGTACAAATAGGTCCTTTTCATTCCGGATGAGTGAATAAGATATCCAAACATGGACCATTTCTCAGCCCTAAAGAGAAATAAGGTACATACATGCTTAATAGCGTAAGTGCCGCTAGAAATCATTGGACGACAGAAGTGTGTCATAGAAGGCCACTTTTGCACAATTTCATTTATGAGAAATGTCTACAGCAGGCAAACTCACAGATAGAAAAAGCTGGTCACAGTTGGCTAGGAATAGGGTAGGGTGAAGGCAGAAAAATGGAGTTAAAGGGTTCAGATTCTTTAGGGGGTGACAAGAGTATTCTAAAATTAAACTGTGGAGGTGGTTGTATAACAGTCAATATCCCCAGCATCACTGGAGTGTGCAGTTTATGAGGGTAAATGATGTGCAGAATGAATTATACCACAGTACAGCTATTTTTAAAAACTTTAAGATTGACAACTAGGACTGTAACAGAGAGAAACCCTGTCTCGATAAAACAAAACCAAAAAAAAAAAAAAACAAACTAAACAGAAAAACTGAAAAACCTTTAAGATCCCCAAAGTTGACAAGAGAAAGAAGGAGAGGAACAGTGTCCCCCTGCAGGAAGGATCAGATGTAGCGTGGTGAGACTCTCAGAATCTCCTGTTGGGGAAGGTGGCTACTGTGTGTTGCAAAACGGCTTGACTGCCCTCCAAACAGGAATAGCCATTTTCTAATGGTTAGTTGACACTCAGGTTGTGGTGGGAAGGAGAATAAGAACCTCATTCACTAAAGCTACATAGAGCATCTTGTGACCCAAGCTACATATCGTCACTGTCCAAACCCCGGGGGTTCTTCATGCTAATTCTGCCAGCTGGGGTTCAAGCATATTAAAAAGTGCATCTGCATTGAACGTGTGTGCTTGTTCTTGTTCTCTGAACAGTACACGTGACTGTGCGGCGCTGTGCCGTGTTAGGTTTTGTAAGCGGCCTAGGAAGGGTTAAGCCTGTGGGAGGATGTGCATAGGCACACGTCAATCCCACGCTGTTTTCTGTAAGGGACTTGAGCATCCTCAGGTTTTGCTCTCCACTGGGGTCTTGGAACAGTCTTCTGTGGTTTCCAAGGGATGTTGCTATCTCGCCTCATACTTGGAATCTGTGACTTTCTACCCCAGGCAATGTCTTGAAAGGAAGTTTCGATGCTGCAAGAGTCCACGTGAGATCAGTAGCATCAAAGCACTAGCCCATGCTTGGTAGATCGGGTCAGGGTTCCAGTTTGTTGTGACTGTGATGTCTTTAAATGAACAGAAAGGTTGTTTTCCCCTTCCCTGGAGGCACTGCCCTGCCCACCTTGGCAGAAGCAGAGAATTTGATACACAGTTAATGGGCATCAAGTCCACTCTGTAGTCCTGGGGTTATTTGTACCCCTGTTAGAATCACGCCATGCATGGTAAGCCCTGGGCAGGGGCAAGACTATGATATATAGAGCGTACCCTCTCTCACCCTGCTTCCAAGCTGGGGCTATGTAGTCCCAGAAGCCCAGAGCCATTAGATCATGGGCGAGAGTGAGCTCCCCTGAACGACTTGCCCTTCAACACATGTAAAGAAAAGGCTACACGTCTCCACTCTGTGCAGCTAGCACTGCTCCAATCTTCCCTATCTCTCCTGCTCGTCTGGGGAGAATAGCATAAGGCTTGGGTCCTGGGAAGATCATGTAGCCCAGGTCACACTATCACACTAGGCATGGGACTCAATATCCATCTCCCTGAAAGTTCCCAGTCTCTCTCTCTCTCTCTCTCTCTCTCTCTCTCTCTCTCTCTCATAGCCCCAACCATCCTGAAACTCATTTATGTAATCCAGATGGACCTCACACTTATGGCAATCCTCCTGCCTCTGCCTCTCAGATGCCGGGATTGCAGGTGTGACCCCTATGTCAGCCTAGGCTGATGGACAAGGAGCTGTGAACATGCCTCTGACAGAGAGCCAGAGAAGAGCCCTGAAACCTGTCACAAAAGCAAAGCCCAAAGGTTAAGGAAACGGACACTAGCTCCTGCCTCTTGGGGTTGCAGTGAAGGCGAAATGGCAGTGTGTGGAAATGCCCAGGTTGTCATCCACCATGTGGAAGCGGCGTGGGATGGTCAGTTCTTCTTCTTCTTCTTCTTTATGAAGACATCTTGAAGAGTCAGCACTTGGCTCCTCAGCCCAGCCTCTGGGGATTTTGTGGCACACACACCCCTCCCTAAACCACCAGAGCTTGGAGGTCTATCCTGAGTGGAGGAAATCAAACAGCTGGGGAGCACGGGAAAGCTTTTGGGTGCATTTCGAAGGCCCCAAATCTGAAAGAAACCCCAGTGCTCATTCCTTGCCAAGTTCAAGTTCACGTGCAAGAAACCCAGTGCTCATTCCTTGCCAAGTTCAAGTCCACGCGCAGGTCCCCGGTAATAGCTGTGATTAGAAAGGGATGTATGCTTGCTGTATCTCTGACCCCACCCTGGCTTATCCCAGATTGTGGGCAGAGCAACTCTATCATGAGAACACATTCCTTGAAAGGCCTCAGCTGCAGTTTCTAGGTATGGCGAGCAGCCCAGGGCGGATTCTGGGGTTAGCAGCAGGGTTCAGTTGCAATTACCAAGCCACTCAATGAGCCCTCGAGCTGGGACTCCCATGTGGTACATCTGTACTTTCTACCTTCGTAGAAGCCTTACCTCAGCATATCAGTCATCCCAACTGCTGGAGAAATCAATTTAACAAGTAATAAGAAAACTGACGCTGCTTTGCAGAGAGCTGAGGCAGCTGCCATTGGTTAACACCCCGGTCTATGCATGGACTGCGTCT